TCTTGCCGCTTTTGTACAATATTGTGAAGTAGTCTTCTTGCAATTGAAGAGCCTACTGTGCAAGAGGGGCCTGACGGATCGCGAAGGTTGCAAGCCAGCACAGTTAATTTTGATCAATAACTACTTGAACACGACAACCAATCATGTATGAGCGCAATTGCTGCACAGCGAAAACGAATGTGAGATATTCTTGCCAGGTCACAGTGTTATTTTATTCCAACTTGCTTAACGGGCGACTGGCATATCTGATCACGTGTTCGCTTTGATTATATTGTTATACTAGGACTGCACATATGCCGATGCCACTTGCGTCAGTGTGAACATCAGTCGCTGCAAAAGAATCGAAGTGCCGAAGTATAGGCTGTGACGTGCGCAAGAACTTCAGTCGCTTGAAGAAATATTCGCAATCAGCAGTTCATTCAAAACTAGCACTTTGACAAAGAGAGCAGCTAAGGGGAAAGGTAACTTCAGCAAATGCGGTAATACACTGGCGGAAATAAGAGCAGAGGAGCTCTTTAGTGGAGCGAGGTGGTTTGAAAGCTCCGAACAGCCTCTGTCTTATATGGGTCGGGCCGGAGGCCATCCTTGTTGACGAGGTGTTCAAACACCAATGCTTGTGACGCGCCGAAACGACGCTGCTTCGCATTAGGAACCAGGCCAGCATTTCAAATACGCTCCAGGACAATCTCTACCCGTTCGTTATGGTCGCTAAATGTACCCGCTAAGATCACAACGTCGTCAAGATAACACATACAGATGCTGCTCTTTAGGCCGTGCAAATTGGTGTCCATGAACTTCTCAACTGTAGCGGGCGCAATGAATTGACCAAAGAGCATGGCATTGAATGTTCTTTACTCGTCCGAGGTAACAAACGCCGTCGTTTATTTGCCCTTAGGATGCACTAGTGTTTGCCAGTAGCCTGAACGTAAGTCTGTTGACGAAAAGTATATAGGATGTTGAATGGAGGCAGTCTAGAGCATCATCGATTTAAGGGAGAAGGTAGACATCTCTATTTGTGACGGAGTACAGACGGCTATAGTACACACAAAATCTCCAGGTACCATCTTTCTTTTTGACTAGAATCCCTGGAGCTGCCCAATGACTAGGTGATTATTGAATGACACAATTCTGCAACATATCACCCACTTGTTCGTCTACAATTTGGCGCTCAGAGGTCGACACTCGGTAAGGTTTTTTACGAGTGGGCTGTGCTGTGCCTTTATTTATCCTGTGGCGATGCGGGAATGGAGGATAATAATAACTGTGGGAAAAATCGAAAACCGCCAAGCAGTTTAACAGGACGTCCTAAAGTATGGGGTTCTTGTCGGTAGAATGTGGTTTGTTGATGAAAGCTAAATTTTTGAATAGGATGAACAAGTATCGGCTGCGCCCCACCTGCATATTCACGGAGGGCTGTCGTGGTCATCAGTGAATATGTTTTGAACACAGCAAGCTTCAGCCTGTTTGGAGAACCACCGACTCAGCTGAACAGTTTACCGCCTATTGTCCTGTGCGTCCTTGAATGAATAAAACTACGCAATGCGGCACCAATGTGTTGTTCTTAATACAACCGAAATAAAAAGGCTTAACTAATGTGTCGAGCACAATATCAATGCCTTCGATGCGTCAAGAATATACGGGAACACACATCATCGAGAATGCCGGGACAACGGTATCTTCACTAATCAGGAGCACGCCCTGCTCTCTTGCCAAATTTTCCAACAGCCCTCGAGGGTCGCAATCACATATGAAAACTTATACATTTGCGTAATCAACTGTTACACCACACATTTGAAGGAAATAAATTCCCCGTACTATGCCAAGTGTGCTCCTTTCAAGAATTGTGAATTCAGCTGCAAACACTTGATTACCCACGGGCGCTTCTGCTGTACGAATTCCAATGGGATGCAGGACGTTATCACCAACGTCCCAGAATTTGGTCGCCTTCTCCCACAGAAACATCACCTTGCGTCCCAAACGGTCTTTAAAGGCAGCACTCATTATGGAAACAGTTGCACTAGTGTTCTCCAAGGCCATCGTACACACACCATCAACAAAAACTTGCAATTTGTTCTTAAACATAAACACACGGGGAGGTATTCCTTTTGCAGCAAGTCACTGGAGACCTAACTCCCATCGGCCACGCTGTCTAGTTTTCCTGGTGTGGTGTCGGTGAGCGGTGACGTGACGACGGAGACCGATGCGAGTGAGGCACTGGAAGTGGCGTCACACTTGGATCACAGGCAGGAGAGTGGTGTCGCCAGTTTCCGTGCCGGAAGCTGCTACCGGTTCGTGAATTGGTTGGCCGTGTCCTTAAAAAGATGTAACATCAGGTTGATCAGTCAAGGGTTCATTGCGTTAGATGAGCGAACGATCGCAATACGTTGATATTTGACCAGTTATAGTGCAGCTGTAGCGCGCAGGTGCAGTACGAGGTCATTGCCGTTTTCCGAAGTGTCTAGGTACGCTGTCACGTTTACGAGCGGTCGCGTAAGTGCGACACTTGAAGAAATAAGTTGTCGGCCGGCGGCATGAGCGTTCGGAATGAAAATCCTGAGGGTATTGCGATCTCTCGTAAAAAAGCTGAACTTGGCAGCTGAAAACACCAGGATTCCGCAACCTGCGCGTGTTCATGGATTAGTGGTCGCAGACCGAAAGCTGTGGGGCAGCAGCGTCCTGCAGGAAGTAGGATGAAGATGTGGCGGCTGCCATTTCACGTGTCATTTATTCGTGTCCGAGCAACTCCTCCGAACAATTTGACGGATGGTTGCTGAAAGGTCAACAGTTGATGTCACTTTAAAAGCTGGCCACTGAGGTAACATTTGCCAGGCGACCAAACTTCGGTGCTATTTTGCACTGCTTCAAGGTTTGAAAAGTACAACACTGCCGCAGAACGTCAGACACACAGGTCTGGCTTTCCCTGCTGTTAAGGAAGTTGTACACGTCTGCGATTTCCTTTAGCAAATACGCAACCTTGTCTTCTTCAGACGTGCTGAAATCGGCTTCCCTACACAGCCTCAGGAACGCTTCGGCATATACAGGCGCAGGTCACATATGGTTGCTAGGGCTCTCTGTGCAAGACTCTGCTCAGTGCGCTTCTTTTCAGGGGCGAAGCTCCTTAAAGCGGCACTTGTTCGTCCGTCGTAGTAGTCGTAGTCGTAGTGTGTAAGCAGTCTTACGTTTTCGAGCTGCAAGGTAGTGCCGGTGGGAAATTTCTCCTGTGCGTTGTTCAACAATGAATAAAATCGCAGTGTGCGCATTAACTAAAAGCTGAACTCTCCTGTCTCTCATTCCCCATCAGCAGCCAGTGGCATGTACATTGAGCACTATTTGACAAGAAATGGTTGCTACGTTATACTCGCTGGGCGTAATCTCCTTGGTTTTAGAAAGGTTGAGCGAGCGTTCAGCCATAGTGCCATAAATACAGTGAAATATTGTGTACCATAAACTCAAGGTGGTTGAAGGTGTGAAGTAGACACGAAGCTGCAAGCCGTAAGAAAGTGTGCGTGTGCCACCTGTTGTTTAGTCCTTGCAAATGTCCGCTGGATGGTGGTGCTTCTATATGGAGAATATATGATGAAAAGAGGCGAGATGGTGGTAATTGGAGTGTTGAATAGATGGACGAACAGACACACAGACAGATGCATGGACAAACCCATGTATGACTCAACGGGCAGATGGACGCATAGAAGGACGCAGGGGTGGATGCATGGAGGAACGCAGGGACGGGCGCACAGATGGACGTGCGGATGCATGAACAGACACATGCACGGACAGGCGGATAGACGCACGGATGGTCACACAGACAGATGCATGGACGGACGGAAGCAAGAACGAATGGACGGACGAATGCTTTGCCCCACTCTCCATCATTCACTCCGTGAATATGCTGCCATAATTTTACAGCTTAGTTACCGAAACACTTATTGATCTCTTCGAAGCGGTACTATGTAGTCCGTATATCCTTGTGGTTCTCGTACTAAACGAGGGCAACATCATTGAAGTAGAAAACCACACGTGATAGTTGGGAAGCAGCAATACATTTGTTTTAGTTGCTCACTCGCTTGTAATGCTTGAGCCAGTCATGTACGTCCTCAGGCGCCTTGGCTGAGAAAGCCCTTGGCTCCTTGAGGTGCGGCCATGTAGGACTGGGCGTGGTTTCCTTAGCGTCTTCGTTTTTGGACATTGTGTGTAAGCAAGAGGCAGGCCGGCGAAGCGACGAATCCTGTGAAGTCCTAAGGGTAGCGGTCCCGTCGTTGGTTATTATACTCAGCAATTCCGCCACTTTGTTACGTCCTCAGCAGGCGTTCGAGGAGTATTGGTACACAGTTGGGATGACGAGCCGTGCAGGATCAGGATGCCGCAGAGATATTCCTCTTCGTTCGCGTTCCTTCGCTTCTTCCTCTTTTTTCTAGTGCGGCACATACGTACCATACGTAGCATTCATCGTCGTATACTGGGGCAGAGGTTTCTGAGGATGGCTTCCGAAGTTATAGGCACTGATGTATTATGTTGAATGCGTTGCTATAAAAGCGCAAGACCAACAGTGCTACGAAAATAGGCATTGCCCCTATATGACGCTTGAATAAGAATTTTTCTAAAAGCAGCATTAATTTCTGTGGTTTGGCTAGCGATTGCCTAGCAAAATACCATCGGAACTGGAGTTCCTTAACGCTATCCTATTGGAGTTTCAATGACTACAGGGGAATCAATAACAAATGATGAAAACGAAAAATGCTGGTGATTGCGTAAGTATTATATAAAGTAATGTCAAAGTGGGGATCGGTGTACGCGGTAAACTCCATGTGGGACATGCAGATACTCTAATAATACCATGGGCCCACTTTGTGTTGTAAACATGAGGATACGGTGGGCTTGGCATATTCATATATCAACAAACATTTGTCATCTATATATTCATGCTAAATTGCTGTTTACTGCGTCGTAATATACCAATGTGTTTCTTCCTTACTACTTTCAATGAATGAATTATTTCTTACCTTGCCTGTGAAGCAGACTAGACTGTTGGGATTCTGCCATGCACCGGGAAATGGCTGCAGGTAGTAAAAGTAAGAAGGTTTAGTGCGCGAGACGAGAAAGCAGCGTGAAGTGTGCATTTGCGCCAAGAAATTTATAGGGGTTTCAGAAGTTTGAAAAAATATCGGTATTTTTGTCGTGCACTTTAGTTCACCGGTTGCCAAACAAGCGTTTGCAACGTTTATCACACTCCATAGAATTTCTGATAAAGTATGATGCTGTTTAGTCACAGCATTTGTTATAGCATAACTAGATTTTATGTTACTTTGTAATTAGGTTACCAGTGTTCGTCATACCATTTGCATAATAGGAGCTTATATACATTCTTCTCCCTTATTTCAAGTTATTTCCCACTGCCATATGTATGCACACGAAAATACGCAGGAGAACCATATTATTCTGCAACCATAGGTAAAAGAAAAATAACAGTTGATACTACGAGATTAGCCATGCAGGTGGCCTAAATTGGGCCCAAATAGGTACATTTAGCCTGGATTAATAGTACAGCCAACAGTGCGAAAAGGTGCTGTCAGTTATTTGATACCAGAAAGAGCGAAAAGTGATAAGTTTAAAGGCACCAGTATAATCAATGGCATAACCATAATTCACTTTCTTTGAGACTATGATAAAAAGCAGCAGAAAAATAATCAACGCTTTGCTCGTTTATTTCATGCTGCAATAAATACACTAGGGGAAGAATTCAAAATACATTAATGTAGTGTCGTCAGCAAATTTTACACAAACTCTTCGTCCTATTACCTGGACTACTTCGCCTGATGCGACTCACAAAGCGGTCGGTGGTGTGGCCGCAATAATATCTCGGTATGCTGAAATTGAACTTCAGCATGCACGAGTAACGTCTAAGCAACACAAACTCAAAGCTACGCGGTGCTAGCCTACGTGAAACTGTTTCAGAACATGTTGCAGAGCATTCGTGTACTTATTGGGTGACTGTATGTATTGGATAGCGGCTATGGTATCCTGCTTGGGCTACTGAAAAGAAAAAGTCATTGTCGTGGTGGCGTCCAGCAACTGCCTCACCTACGTGAACCCGCGGATTCTGGCGTCAGCGTCACCAAGAGCCTGTGCTAGCGTGGCTCGTTTAGCTGCACCGTTAGACAAGTCGCTTACCCTGGCCGCCTGGTGTGTCGTTAAGAAAACACTGTCAGTAGTATGGGTGACGTGGACATTCATTCCTGTGAACGGTTGGCTGTTTGCACTAACCATTGATCACAGTAAGCCGCTTACGCGGTGACGTACTGCCTTGATCGCTGCTATCTGCCGCCACTTTCGTGTTGAATACTGCACTGTAGATTTCTGTCGTTGCTGTCGTCTGTATCAATGTTAATACTTCATCCTCCAGATAGTTCAGTATTTTCATCCTCTCGACGCTTATAGACCGTTAGCTTCGCCAGCAAGCGCCAACAACGCTGTGTCAGAGCCACGGTACGCGCCTAATTGTTGTACTCTGTAAACAAGCCAGAAATGTTTAGCCGAATGCGACCTTTTCATTGAGGCTACCGGCTCGTTGCTCGTTGCATTGTCATTTCTTAAAGGGGTCATGGCATCGTCACCAAACAATTTACGGTTTTCGGTGATCAACGAAGGTGGAGGGTGAATATGCTTGTACACGCGTGAAAACAGGAAGTTCAAAGAATATTTCAGTCCAAAATAAGCTGTAAAAGTCTTCGGATCTAAACTCAGCCCACCTCCGGCGACTCTCATTTGGCTGTGGCGTGCATGACGTCACAAACCGATTGGAGCATTGCCGTCATCTGCTACCAAACGGCCCCTTTGGTACGTGGTCATTGTGTTTCTTGTGCTGCCGGTGTTGCTTTCTGCGTGGTCCGCATGTGTCTTAAATGTTGCGATATGGTACCGGTACCATCGATATGTTGTCGGCACCATCATCAGCTCAAGATTTGGCCAAAGATTCATCGAGAAGCACAAGCGGCGATGACGTAGTGTATGCTGCGCATTTTAGGGGCGAAGCTCCTTATGGCGTGGCTTGTGCGTCCCTCGTAGTACGTAACCACCAGTGCCACATACCCGAAATAGGTATAACATTTGGCCTCCAAGGTGGTGCCAGTGAGAGATTTCTTCTTTGCGTTGTTTAACAATACAAAATAGTGCTCAATGTACATGTCAATGGCTGCTGATGGGGAATAAGAGACAGGAGCATTCGCCTTTTAGTCAACGCGCACGCTGCGATCCCCATTAGCAGCCATTGGCATGTACATTGAGCACTATCGGACAAGAAAGGGTTGCTACATTATACCTGCTGGGTGTAACCTCCTTAGTTTTAGAAAGGTTTAGCGAGCGTTGAGCCGCAGGGCCATGAACACAAGGAACTAGTATATATCATGAATGAATTCGAGGTGGTTAAAGGGGGGAAGCAGATACGAAGCGCAAGCCGTAAGAAATAAAAAGCTGAATCCTCCTGTCTCTCATTTCACATTAGCAGCCACCGGCATGTACATTGAGCACTATCTGACAGGAAAAGGTTGCTACGTTATACTCGCTGGGCGTAACCTCCTTGATTTTAGAAAGGTTTAGCGAGCATTGGGCCGCAGTTCCATGAATACAGTGAACTAGTATATACCATGAACTCACGGTGGTTGAAGGTGGGAAGCAGACCCAAAGCGCAAGCTGTAAGAAAGTGTGTGTGTGTGCCACCTCTCATTTAGTCCTTGGAATGTCCACTGAATTGCGGTGCTTCTATATGGGGAATATATGATAAAAAGATGCGAGATGGTGGGACTTGGAGTGTTGAATAGATGGACGAACGGGCACACAGACAGATGCATGGATGAACGCAAGAACGGACGCAGGGGCGGATGCATGAACGAACGCAGGGACGGGCGCACGAACAGACGTATGGACGATCACACAGACGGACGCTTGGACGGACGAATGCTTCGCCCCAATCTCCATCATTCACTCCGTGGATATGCTGCCATTTTTTATTTCGACACCATCGTCAACAACTCTAGCGACACAGAAAGGATCGAAGATGGGGCGAACACAGATGCCTACGACCTCGTTGTTTTGGTAGACGCTGCAGACAACCTTTCGCATTGATAAGTAGCTTTATTTCAAGCTTGTAAGGTTGACAAAAAATGTAACGATTAGGAGACGCTGCATTCGCAACCACGAGGTTGGCACAGCATTCAGCCGCAGCCTCGGTTTTTTCACTGGTATACCGAACTCGCCGAGAAGACGCTGGTTATGAATGTAGCCTGCCGCAAAGTGCGCTGAGCACAACACAGATGCGTCACTTGCACACCAGTCCTTCCTGCGCACGTTTATCTCCCAAGCCTTGCGTTTGGTGGGCTCTATAGGAAACCTAAATAATGCCACAATACTCTCTCTACTCTGTACGCTCTGTCACCATACAGTGCAGCGTGGGTGACGCGGTGGCATTGTTTCAACTGCTACAAGTCATTCAGTTTCAGTGACACGTTGAATAATGTTGAAACAACTCGATTGCAAGCGCAGCTGACCACGAAACACAATAGTCCTTCATGCTGCACACCATGCAGATACTCACGAAGCAATCGATTTGTTACGTCACGGCTAGCGAGCACGCCAGTGTTGCCCGACGACCAATACCCTCGCTCTTTTATAAAAATATTCAATTATAATTAACCGACGCGACCGATTTCGGTGAGATTTTGCCAGCTTATTTGTGAACGTACAAAGATCAACCCACACAACACTGATGATGGCTGAAAATGGGGGATCATGACCACTTTAAGACTGATTGACTATTTCTAGTTGACGTACTTTTGTTCTTAGAATTTTCAATACATAGTTTAGCGGCCAAATGAATATTAGCTCATTTACCTTCTTGACTTTTGGATTAATTCAATGGAGTATATTGATTTCACGTGAAATGCTCTATTGGAAGCAAAAAAAAAAAGCCGGCGTACTTAGGCAACACTTACCGGACGCTTGAATCCACAGCTCACCTGAGTTTGCTCTACTTCGAGCTTGTGGTTGAGACCAGCGACGACCTGGCGAAAGCAGTAAGATAATATAATCGCGTAATGAGGCAGTGGAAATGCGCAATGTATTGTATTGCACGTTTACAATGAATGTAAAGTCACACCATAGTAGTACAAATGCAATCAATGGGAAATCATTCGTTTGCTTCATAGTGGCTCATTGAAATGTCGGTATTGTGAACGTTTAGCGTTGCTTCGCTCTAATAGTATTTGTCCGCCGTGATGGGGAACTGTTTTGACAACAGATACAAAACTTGTGAATTTTTAGAGCGTTTGTAAATGTTCTTTTCCTGAATCCCAGCAGCTCGCAATAGATGCACAACTGAAACAATGCTGTCAATGAATGAAACGCCAAGCTCTGATATAAAAAACCTCAAATGAGGAGGAAGAGGAGGAGCAGTTAGAAAGAAATAAGCGGAAGGACAGGGAGATTAGCCAGTTCTTAGACCAGCTACCTATCCTGTTCTGCAGAGAGGAAGTGAAAGGAATAAAAGTTGATGAAAAAAGATGTTACAAAAAGACAGAAAGAGAAGACGAAAATTGCAAAAGAGGAAAAGGAAAACTAAAGAGAATCCGACCTTAAAATTTGTCTCTGAGGCCAGTTGTTGGCGAAAAACGTATTAATGCTTCGAAAGGCTTCTGCGCTGAAAATCTACTATGGCAATGACCCAAAATTCTTTATTCCGACAAAGGGCGACCATGTAGTCTATCTAGAGCTTTGACAACTCCTTGTCTTGGCGCGCTCAGACGGGCACACTTCCGCAGAAGACGAGCGATTGTTTTTTCGCAGCTGCAGTCATTGCACCTACAGGTTATGGTCATTCTAATAAGGCAGCGCACAAGTGTCTCATCAGCTTGGGATATTTCTGATGGAACAGAGAGCTTGAAAGTGGGTTCCAACATATGTAGACGACTGCTCGTGAATAACATCAAGTTCTGCTGAGCAACTGTGAGGTCAAGGGCCAGTGAATAAAGCCTTGTAGCTGCGTTGATTCTTGAGAACCACATGGCTGCATATTGCGTGCCGTTATGTGCAGATCGAGCAGCCTCAGATGCATGGTCGCTGCCATATACAGGGTGTCGCAGGTTATTTTAGCCACAGTTTAAAAATACGCCAGAACACGCAATTACAATACGACCAAATGCATGTCACTCATCATTGCCTTGAGTTCGACTACTTTTTGTGTTCTCAAATATTGTTTAAATAAATTCGTTTATTTACCTAACTTTTGAAGGAACAAAGATGGATAAAAATTGCTTGAGAAAGTTGTAGATTGGTTTGCAAAATGTCCGAATTCACAGTTTTGAAGTTTATATCTGTTAGGTTTCAGTGTTTTTCTGCTAATTACAAAAGCCCACGAAATACAAAAAATTACACGAGGCGAACTCGCTCACGTGTCAGTGCGCACGACGCTTCTATAGTGCACCCTAACGCTCCGCGTACGAATGACACATTTCCCTCGCACCGGTTCATGACAGCGATAAGCCGTCACAGCGGTTATCATTCTTGTAGCCGATAGCAAAACGTGTTCATTGTAAAGCCACCACCATTGTTGCGTCCCTGCCGAAACAGTACAATGGGGCAAATGCTATGATTGTTTGCAATGTCGCACAAGCGTGTTTGTCATGTGGTACTTTTTGTATTTCACGGGCATTTTTATTTAGTAGAAAAACACTAATACTTAACAGATATAAAGTTCAAAACTGTCGAAGTGATGAAAATCTGGGTTCGGGAACCTGAAACTTCTGAATAAATATTTTGCTGTCCCCAGCCCGATGCGCGTCTTTCCCTATTTCAAGGCCAACACGATGTTTTGACCATAGAGTTTCCCAAAATTAACTAGGCGGCACTCTGGCGCTGCGATCATTCAGCGGCCATGGGAATGATGGGTAGTATACACATTTGCCTAGTCTTCGTTTTTGCGGGAGGCAAATCATACTTGCGGCTTTGTTTATTGCTGTGTTTCAGTTTTGTTTTGAAAGAAAGAACGAACACTTTTGAACTTAGTGACTTTATTCGAAATGGCAAGCCTGAAAGAATAAGGCTGTGAAGCGCGAACGGTGAACATGTACTAATTTATGTTTTCGTGCAAAAACAGCTCCAACTCACACGAACACACACGGAGCCAGAAGCAGGCCAGAAGTACGAAAATTAGACAAATGTGTGTACTACCCATCATTCCCATACTCGCTGAAGCGCCGTGTGTTGCAGCTCCCAGAGACAATAGCGCCAGAGTTCCCTCTAGTGTATACTGAGAAACTCTATGGTTTTGACCTCAAGTGGCTTACTTCATTCGCCACTTAGCCCCATCTTTACTAAAACTAAAACAACCAAACTATAGCAAAAACTAACGCAGATTTGTGCATTATTCTCAGTTCAGCGAATTTGATCTTTGAGCCATCGAAGTTCTCACCCCTCCCTTTGATGATTTGCCGTGTGATCCTGGACTTTGCCAGATTCATATATTTCAACTGTTCGCCTCAAAATGTTGCCGAATCCAAAGATAAATAAAATGATCATAAGCTTGATAAAGATGCTTTAGCGCAGCCTCGTATATAACAGTATAAAACACGTCATAGAAACTGCTGTGATAGAACACAATGATTGAACCCTGCTGTCAGCCTAATTACCACAATGATACGGAGGAGATAAAATAATTGAATTCTTGTCCCATGTTATGGTTAATTTACGTGAATCACAGTGGCTGCCCTTTCGTTGGAGGTGAAGACGCACGAGTCTAATGTACGAGTCTAGTCTACTTGAACTCAAGTGCACGTTAAAGAACGTGCACCTACTTCAAGGTTGTCAGGCTTTCTGGAACCTTCCTACAAGGCGTCTCTCATGATCATATCATGTTTTTGGGTTAAACTCCAGCATGTATCTATTATATGAACCAATAAAACTTTATCTTAAAATGACAAAGTTTTGTATTGTCTGCAAACAATAATTTGTTGGTAGATCAACGTATCTGTAATTGTGTGATCGCTACTGGTTGGTAAGGAGCATACTTGTGTACTAAAACAAAAAGGTTTGTCTCTCAAGACGTACACTTCTCATTATTTATGGCAAGGCGTACGAGTTCATATCAGGTGGAAAGGTTATGATTCCTGTTTTTTAGGCTACAATACAGTGCCATAATAAGTTTGTTATACTAGAAGTTGAACAAACCGCGACCGCAAGATCGCAGACGTTTGCGGTTGCACAGCCAGGCAGGCAAGCAGGCAGGCAGATAGATAGATAGATAGATAGATAGATATTGTCAAGATGTCTTTTAAAGAACAAATGTTTCACTAAAATTGGCCATAAACGTATGAATCTCACCTGTGTCGAAGCTTTCGAAACTCTTAAATTAGTTCCGTGCAAGTAAGGTTCGCCGAGGGCATCAGCGAAGGCTTGATAGGCAAGCGTAATAAACTTCTGTGACTCCGACGGGTACTTGTGCTCCCTCCATCCTCCAACAAGCCCACTTGTCGAACGCCTCACTGTTTCCCAATTGGCATTCGTTACCGCAGCTAAGCAGAAAATTAGCACGACGCTGGGGATTCCGGTCATCGTCTTGTGTGTGTGGAGTCAGCTCTGATATTGTGTCCTTTCAAAGAAACCGTTGTCGGCTCGCACTTGTTCATCGCCTCTGTTGTACTCGGCTTACAATGGATGACATATAAGCCACAAAACTTGCTTTTTTTACTTTCACCGCAAAAGACGGTGCTTTCAACAAAGCATAGTATGAAAGTGTACTTTTTAGTGCTGAAATGTGCTATGGCAAAATGTCCAACTTCAGTAAAAAAAAATATCTTTAGCAAATATTGTGGAGGTTAGTTTAACAGTTTATATAACGCAAGAGTGCATAGTAAAGAGATGAGCTCTATACGTGGAATGTCTATGCGCTGTACAAAGCGAGCCATATATTATCAAAGAAAAGATTGCGATATGAAACGATCACACCCAATCATATTGACACACACATATTTCCCCAGACTCACCTGGTAACGCAACACACGAACTCTATTTTCTAGTGTAATAAATTTTGCAGCACTCCAAAATAGATACAGTGCAACGAGCAAGGTTGCGTAAAAACACAGGTTATTATTCCAGAAACGTTAGCCGCAACAAGCTGGTACAGGCAGGAACCAGGCAAGCACGAGCCACACACGGACGTCAACGTCTTCTTTCACGCTGGCACAGAGCTGGCGCCACTATGATTCGGTACAATTACTCCCCGCGCAGAAAGGAGCCAACCTGGCGACCTAGGGAAAGGACACGACAAGGGGTCATAGCACGGTTTGAGGCGTGATACGTGTACTGTTTCACGCCACGGCAGCGTTGGTCCGAGGGTGGATCAATGGGCTCAACTTCATAGTTGACAGGAGATGTTTGCCGCACCACACGGTAGGGGCCATGGTATTTCGACGAAAGCTTCGGGGAAAGACCGGGACGGGTAGACGGGACCCAGAGCCGAACCAGCATTCCTGGGTTATAGTGTACAGTAGACGCAGAGAAATCGTGGTCAGTTTTCTGGCGCCATTGGTCTTGTGCGGTAAATGAGCGAGCGAGTTGACGACACTCTTCGGCATAAGCAGCTGCTTCGGAAACAGGCGTCGCTTCGGAAACATCAGGCCTGTAAGGGAGAATGGTGTCCATGGAGCACGATGGCTCACGTCCGTACAGAAGGAAGAAAGGAGAAAAGCCAGTGGTTGTTTGTGGCGCAGAGTTGTACGCGTACGTGACAAAAGGGAGCACTTGGTCCCAATTAGTGTGGTCGTCAAAGGCGTACATGGCAAGCATATCTCCAAGGGTACGGTTAAAGCGTTCTGTCATGCCATTGGTTTGGGGATGGTATGCCGAGGATTTCCTATGGACAGTGCGACATGCCTTGAGTAGCTCGTCGACGGCGTTCGAGAGAAACACGCGTCCACGGTCACTGAGTAATTCACGAGGTGCACCGTGTCGCAAAATGAGATGGTGAAGAAGAAAGGACGCAACGTCTTTCGCAGTGGTAGCAGGCAGCGCAGATGTTTCAGCGTAGCGTGTTAAATGATCCACGGCGACGATAATCCACCGGTTGCCTCGAAGAGAGTTGGGTAGAGGACCATAAATATCAATTCCGACGCGGTCGAATGGTCTCGCTGGGCAGGTTAAGGGTTGCAAAGGGCCAGCAGTGCTGTGAGAAGGCGTCTTGCGTCGTTGACACGTGGTGCATGACCGAACGTACTGGCGAACGTGCCGATACATGCCGCGCCAGTAGTATCTTAGACGAAGGCGAGAGTAAGTCTTAAATACTCCAGCGTGGCCACACTGGGGGTCATCGTGAAAGGCAGCGCAGATGTCCGAACGCAAATGACGAGGGATGACAAGGAGCCACCTACGGCCATCCGTCACGTAATTGCGGCGATACAACAAGCCTTCACGGACAGCAAAGTGTCTTGCTTGACGAGAGAGGGAGCGTGAAGTTGTTTCTGACGAACTGAGAGAGGACGTCGAGCAAAGAATTGATCCAAGGATCCTTGCGCTGTTCGGATGGCATGTCAGTGATGCTCAACGATGACGAATCGCAAATGGCAGTTGATAAGCAGGCGAGGTCAGGAGGCAGTGGAGAACGGGATAGTGCATCGGCGTCCGAATGTCTGCGTCCTGAGCGATAAACAACATGGATATCGTATTCCTGAAGGCGTAAAGCCCAACGAGCGAGGCGGCCAGTAGGATCTTTCATGGACGCTAACCAGCATAAGGCATGGTGATCTGTGACAACATCAAACTGGCGTCCGTAAAGGTAGGTGCGAAATTTTCCTATAGCCCAAATGATAGCCAAGCACTCCTTTTCCGTGACGGAATAGTTGGACTCTGCCTTCGTTAGTGTACGGCTGGCATAGGCGACAACGTACTCGTCGCAGCCATCCTTGCGTTGAGCGAGAATGGCACCGAGGCCGACACCACTTGCATCCGTGTGAATTTCAGTGGGTGCATTGGGATCGAAGTGGCGGAGAACTGGCGGAGAGATGAGTAGCCGGCGTAGCGCCGTGAATGCCTCATCGCAGAGGGAATTCCAGCCAGAGAGGTCCGTGCTACGGGAGAGAAGCTGAGTCAGAGGGGCAATTATAGAGGCAAAATTGCGAATGAAACGCCGAAAATAGGAACACAAGCCTATGAAACTACGAAGCTCTTTTAGGGTAGTAGGCTTGGGGTACTCGGCAACGGCACGCAGTTTGGCAGGATCTGGCGATATTCCTTCTTTTGAAACGACGTGGCCGAGAATTGTGAGTTTGCGGGCGCCAAAACGACATTTCTTGAAGTTAAGTTGCAACCCGGCTGCCGTAAGGCACTGGAGAACTTGTTCCAGACGGGAAAGATGAGTTTCGAAATTCGCCGAGAATACAACTATGTCGTCTAAATAGCAAAGACAGATGTGCCATTTAAGTCCCCTGAGGACACTGTCCATCATTCTTTCAAAAGTCGCAGGCGCATTGCAAAGACCGAAGGGCATTACATTAAATTCATATTAGCCGTCAGGGGTCACAAACGCCGTTTTTGGACGGTCTGGTTCAGCCATTCGTACTTGCCAATATCCAGAGCGCAGATCCAGTGAAGAGAAAAACTCCGCACCTTGAAGGCAATCCAAGGCGTCATCAATGCGTGGCAGAGGATAAACATCCTTGCGTGTGATGTTGTTTAGTCGATGATAATCCACGCAAAACCTGATGGAGCCATCCTTTTTTCGCACGAGGACCACTGGCGAAGCCCAAGGACTGTGCGAGTGCTGAATAACACCACGTTGCAGCATCTCGTCGACGTGTTGAGTGATGACGTTACGCTCGGCCTGCGAGACGCGGTAGGGGCGCTGCCGAAGTGGAGTATGATGACCGGTGTCGATATGGTGAGCGACAACTGACGTGCGTCCCAAGGGAGGTTGTCCGTGGTCGAAGGAGGCGCGGAAACGGTCAAGTAGTTGAATGAGCTGATTGCGCTGGTCTTGCGTAAGGCCGGTGTCTACGCTGCGCAACAGAACGTCTTCGTCAGGTAGTGAGGGCGCGGTGCCAGCTGTGACAGCATCCACGGACATCGGTGTCGTATCAGAACGGGCATCGAAAGGAAAGATGTCATCATAAGTGTCAAGACTCCCAATGCATTCGCCATGCAATAAGGTAGCGGGACAAGGGAACGGATTGCACACGTACACGGCACTGGAGCCATCGGCAAGTGTTATGACGGCAAACGGGACGACAAGGTTCCGGCGACGAGCGCATTCTTGTGACGGCATAAATAGGCAGTTGAATCGGAAACGGAGTTGCACAAAAGAGATACCGCGGTGACCGAAAAAGCAGAAATGACGACGTCAGCGGCGACGATCACCTTTTTGGGTGAGCGAGGGAGATCTATGAATGTCGTGCTGAATGGAAACAAAACGAGTTGAGCACGAGCGCAGTCGACAACCGCATGATTAGCGGAAAGAAAGTTCCATCCCAGGATGATTTCATGAGACGCATGCGGAAAGACGACAAATTCTACGATGTAAAGCACTCCTTGAATCACAACACGAGCAGTGCATGTGGCAGAAGGTTGGACGTGTTGTGAACTCGCCGTGCGTAAAGAAATTTCAACCAGTGGAGTCGTCACTTTGTTCAGTTTGCGGCATAACACTTCACTGATTATACAAATAGCGGCACCTGTGTCGACAAGAGCAGTTGTGGCGAAACCGTCCACAAACACGGCAATCTCGTTAGGGGGCGATAGATGAGGCCTTGGAAATTTCGTCGGTGGCGCAGCTCTTGCCTCAGGAACTGCGACTGTCACTTTTCCTCCTGGGCGTGGTTGGAACGGCGAAGCATGGGGGAAAGAGACCGAAGACGGGGTGAAGGAGATCGACGTCGGCTGAAGTCTGGTCGACGTGAGCGGGGGTCATGCGAATCAGGTGTCACATGCGATTCTGATGGCCGAGGTATGTTGCCGGAATGCTGCACATCATTAAAATAGAATCCACGGCGACGACAGTAGCGCGCGACATGTCCTGGAATACCACAGTTGTAGCAGATGGGCCGGTTATCCGGAGTACGCCAAGAGTTGGCAGGTGCTCGAGGTGGTGGAATGGGCCGATTTACCGGATAAACTGAAACTGGTGACCTGTAGTAGTTGGTGGCTGGACTGTATGAAGGGAGCGGCGGTTGGGCAGAAGGTCGGCGGACGGCTTCTGCATAAGTCAGTGGTGCAGCCACTGATATTGGGGATGTGGGCGAAGGGAGAGCCTCGGCAACTTGCGTCTGAATAGCACGGCGAAGTGAGTGGTCCAGTGTTGTGGGGGTCTCGTTGATGGTGGCGACAAGAGAGAGCTGTCGAGCAACTTCCTCCCGGATGTACTGTTGAATTTGAGGCATTAACACGCTGTAGTCGAGGCCACTGCTTTTGCACTCCAAGGCCGAAATATCAGCTGTCTGCGTATTAGCGCGACGTGTAGAAACTCGTTGCTTGCGCACCTCATCGAAACTTTGACATAACTGAATCAAGGCCGTGACGGTCTGTGGGTCTTTGGCCACAAGCATATGAAAAGCGTCGTCATCAATGCCTTTCATTATGTTCTTTATTCTGTCAGCCTCCGTCATCCTGTCATCAACTCGCCTACAGAGGCTGATC